CCCCCCTTTCCCCCCCCCCCCCCCCCCAACAAATGGAGCGTGTGCTGTGACTGGCAGCTGGAAACTGTTGGCTACTAATTAAAGTTTGAAATCTAGAAGCCTCTGCTGATTGGTAAATCTAGTGAGGAGGGCTTTAAACTAGGTTCATTGGGGGACAGTGACCAAAACCTTGAGGGGAGTGGAGAAGTCAGACACTGGGAAGAAATGCAAAGAGGAACAAGCAACAAAGGTGGACCCCTGATTCAAATGCAGAGGGTAGGAAGATCAACTGGTTATCTAAGGTGTTTGTACACCAATGCAAGAAGCCTGGGTAACAATCCGGAAGAATTCGAAGCCCTGGCCCAATCCAAGAACTACGATTTGATTGGGATAACACAGACGTGGTGAGATGACTCGCATGACTGGAGCGCTGTCATGGAAGGGTATAGACTGTTCAGGAAGAACAGGCAGGGGAGAAAAGGAGGAGGAGTTGCACTGTATATAAGAGAGCACTATGATTGCTCAGAACTCCAGTATATAGAGGGAGAAAAGCCCATTGAGAATCTATGGGTTAAGTTTAGAGGTGGAAGCAACAGAGGTGATGTTGCAGTTGGTGTCTGCTACCGGCTGCTGAATCAGGTGGGTGAGGTAGATGAGACTTTCTTCGGACAACTGAGAGAAGTTTCCAGATGGCAGGCCCTGGTTCTTGTGGGGGACTTTAATCACCCTGACATCTGTCGAGACACCAATACGGCAGTACACAGACAATCCAGGAAGTTTTTGGAGAATGTTGCGGATAACTTCCTGGGACACGTGCTGAAGGATCTGACCAGGGGCCGTGTGCAACTTGTCCTGCTGCTCACAAACACGGAGGAACTAAAAGGGGAAGTAGAGGTGGGTGATAAGTGACAAGAAGCAGTGATCATGAGATGGTAGATTTCAGGATCCTGACCAAAGGAAGAAAAGTAGTAAACGCAACTTGGACTTCAGAAAAGCAGACTTCAACTCCCTCAGAGACCTGATGGGCAGAATCCCCTGGGATTCTAACATGAAGGGGGAAAGGAGTCCAGGACAGCTGGCAGTATTTTAAAGAAGCCTTACTGAAGGCACAGAAAGAAACCATCCCTATGCATAGCAAGAGAAGCAAACATGGTAGGAGACCGGACTGGCTTACAGGGGAAATCCCTGGTGAACTTAAGCACAAAAAGGGAGTTTACAGAAAGTGGAAACTTGGACAGATGACCAAGGAGAGCTATAAATATATAGCTCGAGAATGCAGGGGAGTTATCAGGAAGGCGAAAGTGCAATTGGAATTGTGACTCGCAAGGGATGTGAAGGATAACAAGAAAGGTTTCTACAGGCATGTTAGCAAGAAGGTGGTGATCAGAGAGGGGGTTGGCCCCTGCTGGATGAAGGAGGTAACCTAGTGACAGATGATGTGGGAAAAGCTGAAGTACTCAATGCTTTCTTTGCCTCTGTCTTCACGGACAAGGTCAGCTCCCAGACTAATGTGCTAAGTGACGCAAGATGGGATGAAGATGGACAACCCTTGGTGGGTAAAGAACAGGTTAGGAACTATTTTAAAAAGCTAAATGTACATAAATCCATAGGTCCAGACTTAATACATCCGAGGGTTCTGAGGGAGTTGGCAAATGTCACTGAGGAGCCTTTGGCCATTATCTCTGGAAAGTCGTGGAGATCAGGCAAGATCCCGGATGATTGCAAAAAAGCAAATGTAGTGCCCATCTTTAAGAAAGGGAAAAAGGATGATCCAGGGAACTATAGGCCGGTCAGTCTTACCTCAGTCCCTGAAAAAATCATGGAGGGGATCCTCAAGAAGTCCATTGTGAAGCACTTGGAAGAGGGGAAGGTGATCAGGAATAGTCAGCATGGATTCATGAAGGGCAAGTCATGCCTGACCAACCTGATTAGTTTCTATGCTGAGGTAACTGGCTCTGTGGACGTGGGAAAGTCAGTGGATGTGATAGACCTTGACTTTAGCAAGGCTTTTGATACGCTCTCCCACAATATTCTTGCCAGCAAGTTAAGGGAATGTGGATTGGATAAATGGACAGTAAGATGGATAGAAAGCTGGCTGGAAGGTCGGGCCCAGCGGATAGCGATCAACAGCTCGATGTCAGGATGGCGGTCGGTTTCTAGCAGAGTGGCCCAAGGTTCAGTTCTGGGACCGGTTTTGTTCAATATCTTCATTAATGACCCGGATGAGGGGATGGATTACACCCTCAGCAAGTTTGCGGATGACACTAAGCTAGAGGGAGAGGTAGATATGCTCGATGGCAGGGATAGAGTCCAGAGTGACTTAGACAAATTGGAGGATTGAGCCACATGAAATCAGATGAGGTTCAACAAGGACAAGTGCAGAGTCCTGCCCTTGGGACGGAAGAAGCCCAAGCATTGTTAGACTAGGGACCAACTGGCTAAGCAGCAGTTCTGCAGAAAAGGACCTGGCAATTACAGTGGATGAGAAGATGGATAGGAGTCAACAGTGTGCCTTAGAGCTAAGAAGGCTAATGGCATATTATGGTGCATTAAGGGTACATCTAGACTACATGCCTCTGTCACCAGACACATGTAGATTAGGCTACCAGACATAGTAAAATGAAGTGGTGATTTAAATAATTGCAGCTTCATTTAAATTTACATGGCTGCCACGCTGAGCCGACAAACAGCTGATCAGCTGTTTGTCGGCTCAGCGCGATAGCCATGTAGGTTAGACAGATAGGCAAAGGCAAATGAAGCCGCGATTTAAATGATTGTGGCTTCATTTAAATTTACATGGCTGCCGCGCTGAGCCGACAAACAGCTGACGAGCTGTTTGTCGGCTCAGCGTGGCAGCCATGTAAATTTAAATGAAGCTGCAATTATTTAAATCACCACTTCATTTTACTATGTCTGATAGCCTAATCTACATGTGTCTGGCGACAGAGGCATGTAGTCTAGACGTACCCTAAGAGGAGCATTGACAGTAGATCCAGAGATGTGATTTTTCCCCTTTATTCGGCTCTGGTGAGGCCACATCTGCACCAGTTCTGGGGCCCCAATTACAGGAAGGATGTGGACGCATTGGAGAGGGTCCAGCAGAGGGTGATCAGAATGATTAGGGGGCTGGAGCATGAGACCTATGAGGAGAGGCTGAAGGAGCGCAGGGTCTATTTAGTCTACAGACGAGTGAGGGGGGTGTTGAGAGCAGCCTTCAACTTCCTGAAGGGAGGTTCCAAGCAGGCTGCAGAGAGGCTGTTCTCAACAGTGACAGGTGGCAGAACAAGGAGCAATGGTCTCAAGTTGTGGTGGGAGAGGTCCAGGTTGGATATTAGGAAAAACTATTTCACTAGGAGGGTGGGGAAGCACTGGGCTGGGTTCCCTAGGGAAGTGGTGGAGTTTCCATCCCTAGAGGTGTTTAAGCCTCAGCTTGACAAAACTCTGGCTGGGTTGATTTAATTGGGATTGGTCCTGCCTTGGGCAGGGGGCTGGACTTGATGGCTTTCTGAGGTCTCTTCCAGCTCTATGATCTCTTTGAGCATGACACAGCAGGAAGAAACCACTTTCTCTGCTCCCAAAGCTGGCTTGGGAATCCAGCAGCCATGCTACTGGGAGCAGAGTTCACCTGCGCAGGGGGAGTGAGCTATGGCAAAGGCTCTGCTGGAAGCCGGGCTGAGTTCATCTAGTTCTAGCACTTCAGTTACGTGCTGGAGAAGTGCAGCACTAAGGGGGCTCTGCACGCAGCCAGCTCCCCCTGCCGGGCAGGACAGGGCCCACACTCCAGCCCTGCCATTCCTTCGGAGCAGAAAAAGCACCCAGTCAAAGCTACAGCAGAGCATGAGGCCCCTAGCGTACCCCTCCCTGCTGCCCCACAAGCTGCGTTCCCATCTAGCACAGGGCATTCTGCATCTGCAGTCACTGGCCCACAGAGAAATCAGTCGGGGGCCACACACGAGTGACAAGCAAAGCCAAACAAGCTAGGGCTGCATCTGGCCCCAGGTCATAGGTTCCCCCCCTGCTCTAGTGTATTTCCCAGTAGGGCCCAGGAGCTGTGAGGGCCACGTTATTCTGCATGTCATGTCTCACCTGGCAGCTGCACATCTCAGTGCAGCGAGGGAGCAAACCCCCCCCAACTTTCCCCTGAACTCTAGCAGAATGGACACATCTGGTCGTTCAATCTGCTGCCGCACAGCCACCCTGGCAGCTAGCCCGAGTGCCGCTCTCCCTGTGCAGCGCGCCGGGCGGGGCATGCAAGGCCAAGCCCTGCTATGAGCGAATGCGTGCTCGCAGGCCACGGGCGCCAAGAGGCCTGTGGAGCTCAGGTTCAGCTCTGTCCCCTTCGGGCACTTCCCCAGCTGTGCTGCTGCAGAACCCACCACACGTTCCCATCCACGGGGGCTTTTATTCTCTTGGACCAAACAGTCAGGCTTGTCGGAAAGCAAAGACGGGAGCACAAAACCGCACAAATAAATAAAGTGAAGTCCGATGGCCACTGAGCAGTCCCGCTGCCAATCCATTGCTGGGGTGGGAGGCCGTGGTGCTAGCCATGCCACACGTGGGACGGGGGCTGGCCTTAGCAAGGAAGCGGTGCTGCAAGCCAGGCTTCTGCAAAGGGGCACATCACCTAGCCGCTGCAGGGACCGAGAGACTCTTCCCACGGGCTGCCGCCCTGCTGGCTGGCTGGCCAGTGACCACTGAGGAAAGGGAAGTCCCGTTCTCCATGGCAATGTATAAGTCTAGGCTAGGAGACATTAAGCCTTATGAGAGCACAGAAGGAATGTAACCTGCACTTCCACTCGGCTCCCTGGTGAAGGCAGCAGAAGGGTGTCGCCATGCCAAGATGAGAGAAGAGAAGAGAAGAAAGGGGTTAGCCCAACCCATACAGGATTTAACACTAAGGACTGATGTGTAGAGCAGCCACTGCCCCCAGACCACACACCACATGTGAACTACTAGGAGCTGACAGTGCAGAGCCAGGGAGCTAGATGGTTATTCAAAGCAGTCTCGCGAGAACGTCAGTGAAGGCTCCAGTGTCTGACAGGCTTGGCTGGAGGGCTTTGGTCTCTGCTTCTCTCTCCAGTACAGGATTTAACACTAAGGACTGATGTGTAGAGCAGCCACTGCCCCCAGACCACACACCACATGTGAACTACTAGGAGCTGACAGTGCAGAGCCAGGGAGCTAGATGGTTATTCAAAGCAGTCTCGCGAGAACGTCAGTGAAGGCTCCAGTGTCTGACAGGCTTGGCTGGAGGGCTTTGGTCTCTGCTTCTCTCTCCAGGACAGACATCAGCCTGGTGTCCTGGTCCCTTGGCCGGGCACTGAGCAGAAAGCCTGGGACGCAGGTGGGCAGGACAGCCAGCTGCCCGGGAAGAGGTCTCCCCACTAGGCAGGGCTTTCGGGTGCTAGAGGGGTGCGCACTCCCAGTGGAGCAGGACTACTGCTGATCCAGGAGGATGGACGTGGTGCTATTCCGGGAGCTTTCTATAAAAAGCGGGCGGTTCGGGCTTTGCTGCAGAAGCAGCGATGGCTGTTTTCCAGACTTCTTTCTAGCTCCTCGGTGCTCTGGCGTGAGAAAGCCTTTCCCAGGTGACTGCAGAGACAGGGATGGGGACGTGACCCGAAGCACCCTTTACTCCATTCCGAATACACCAAGGCCAGCCGGCCTCGGACGCAGCATCTTCCTAGAAGCCCGTGGGAGTGAGCACGTTTAGGTCCCGGGGTTGGAGGTTATGGGACCGTGCCGACTGCTTCTTCCCCTCCATAGCGGGAATGTCCATCCTGGGCGGTCTGAACGTGGCTGGGTCCTCTGCCATCCTGGTGGCCTGGGCACGGATCAGCTCCATTGGGGATGGCTTCTGGGCACCCTTGTAGGGCTGGATGGTAAAGGCCCCTAAGGGAAAATGTTGACAGCACATAAGGAGGGAGTCCGGTACCCAGTTTGCAGAGCAGGCACACTAGCAAGGCCTGCACCATAAGGAAGCTGCTCTTCGAGCTGAAGGGCTGAACGCTTGCCTTGACATGTGCAAAGGCACACAGATCTCACGCAGTTCTCCCCGCAGCGCCCCGGGGGTTGCTAGTGGCCTGCAGCGCCTGGCCCCACAGACCCCTGCAGAAGAGCTCCGAGCTGGGAAAGCAGCACAGGCAGGCAGCCGGACACGGCTCTCCCTGTTATGCAAGCGACCGAGACAGGATCGGTGCAGAGCTAGCCACTGACAGGCGAGAGGCCATATGTTTGGCAGGCTACTTCCACACGAAGGCTGGGAAGTGTCACTCCTGTTACCAAAGAGACCAGTGGCAGTGCCGGTGTTCTGTCTCCACCAGCAGGCCACAAGATGCTCTAGTTCGACACGGAGAAAAGCCTGGGCACCACAAGAGGCCGCTACAAACAGCGGCTGGAACAACACGGCCAAGTTCCTGTGAAATCTACTTGTGGCCACTGTGTGCTGCCTCTCACTGACCACTTAGACTGGGTGCACCCTCCCAAGTCAGCCCCTCCCGCTGCCTCGGCCAGCTTTTGAGAAGGCGTCTCCTCCTCCAGCAGGCACGTACCTGGGTCATTCGCAGATTTCTGGACAGCTTTGGGTCCAAACAGGCTCCATTTTTCAGAGGCTATTCTGTCTCTGTCCCCCCCATCGGAGTCCAGGTCTGGGCCAGTGATCGAAGTGGAGGATCCCTGACTAAACCAGCCCCTGGAAGAGAAGAATCATGTTGGAGCATTACCAACGGAAGGGAGAAGTGACAGTTTCGTCTGTGCCCCCATGGGCCCACCAGAAGCAGCCAGTCCCAAACAAGCAGTAATCGGCCTTTTGCTCTAAGGCCACGTCGCTTCATCCGCCACCCGATCCCAGAAGCGAGAACGTGCACCCCACAGAGTTCTAGGAGCTCTCACAGGACTCTAGTCCCTCTGAACAGCCAATGCTGACTCCTACAGAAACCCCTGGGAGGCGCTGAACCCCACCCACCAGTAGACCGCCGAGCTCTCGGGTGCTGGGCAGGGAGGCTGTTGCACCTCTGGCTCTAGGGCCTGAAGGAAGCCAGGTCCCCCGGGAGGCACAGGGCTGTCCTGCGCGGGACTGTACCTGTGTTTCTGTTTGGGAGAGGAGTGAGGGGTGCTGCTTGGAGTGGACTGAGTGGAAGACGCCGGTTTGTCTTCTCTGGCCATCTCGCCACTTTGCATCTTTAACTTCTGTTAGAAGGGCAAGAGGAAAACAAAAGCAGCATGAGCACTGGGAGTAAGCGAGTGGGCTGCAGCTGTGTGTCACAAGGGCTGCGTGCCGGGTGCCTGTTCATCACACGTAGGGCGCCACGTCTCAGACGGCGTGTAGCTCCCAGAGCATTTCAGGAAGAAGGTCGAGTTACTCCGGCCTAAGGGAGCAGTTCACGCCGCGCTCTCGTTAGAGCCACACCGCCCTCTGCCAGGGTCTCAGTAGGATCCCCACTGCAGGGAAGCGAGTTTATCTGGCTCCTTGCTGTACTCGTCAATAGCACTGCCCTGGCTAGGTGCCACGTGGCCCACCGGCCTCTTGCTTCTAACTCAGCTGTCTAGCGACTGCCTCGCAAGGGAGCACCGCTGTACTATTTGGAAGCCATGCCCAGCATCAGGGCTCTCAAGGCTTTCCTGCCTCTGCAAACAGGACATCGGACAGGGACCTACTCCACGCCAACCCGGTCATTTCAAACCCTTCCTGATGGCACAATGCTAACGTCAATGGGAGTCATGGTCTGAAGAGGGACTCGGGAACTTCTCCCTCATCTGCTTCAGTGACAGCTTGCATGCCACAGACACACCGCTGCTGCTTTACTCTTATGAGCACCGCAGAGTAGGGATGTTGGCAAACATCTAGTTTTGTGAACATGTAACCTCGGAATTTCTCAGCGGTTACACGTTTACACACGGGGGGCAGGCGGGAGCCAGTGCTCACAGAGAGCCAGCCCTCATGCCAGCTCCCTGAGAGCACTGGCTCCTGCCGATACAGAAGCTGGTACATGCAGGGAGCCAGCTGCTTAGGGGAGAGGAGCCCACTGGCTTCTTTCCTGGAGGGGACGGGACGTAAGCACGCCGAGTGGTTAGGGCAGCTGCATTACCGCAGAGTGAGCGTGGCCCTGAGTTACTGGCCTCTTACATGCCCCAGAGAGCAGCAGCAATGAAAAATCTGTACAAAGGCTGGAGGCAGAACAGTTATTCAGGAAGGCCAGATGCTTTATTTGTGTATTTTAAGAACTATTAACACCCTTTGCAACGCATGCTGGGCCACGACAGGATGGCACGTCCAGCCTCAGACAGGTCCACGGGCCAGATTCACAATTTAAAGGGTAATTATCTTCAGGGTGGATTCCGCCCCCACTGACGGTGGCTGACTGTTTCCAGCAATACTGAAAGACTGAAAGTTACATGCCGAAGACTCGCCTACTAGAATCTGAGTGTTACATTTCGGGGAAGCACAGAGTGATCCTAGTCACAGCACAGCTAGTGAGGTGCAGGACTATGAAACAAAGGCACAACAGGCTATTTACACTGGCACTGTTACCAGCCGAGTTCTGCCGAGAGCTACAAACAGGAGGAGTAATCCCCAAACCAGTTCCATGAACCCTGGCTGCTCAAGGGCCAGTCAAGTGCCCGAGAAGCCGAGGTAAAGCAGCACACGAGCCACAAGGAAACCAAAGCAGAGTACAAGACGAGGGTCTTACATGGAGTGCCTCAGCCACACGGTGGTACTTTGTCTCCTCCGCGGTGAGGCCCTTGTGGGGAGTGTAGCCAGCATCCCTCAGCCCTGCCTGCCGTTCAAAGCGCTGAATGCTCTCCTGAGTCTGCTCTAGAATGGACGAGATGACACATTCATACAAGCAAAGGGAAAACGCAGGCAGCACGAGAAACAGGGCGTCCCTTCTCCAGGGGTTTGCAGCATGGGGAGTCAGCCCAGACAGAACGTGACAGACAGCTCAGAAAGGCCCGGGACTCAGGGGCTCTAAGGAAACTGACCAGCTTGGAACTGCGCAGGAAGGCGGCGCTCACATGCCCATCTCGGCCAGAGGGGGAAGCTCGTGTTGCTCCTGAATTAGAATGTTTCTAAGGCGCCAGGCAGTTAAAATAACCACTCAATCATCAGAATCTGGCCAAGCTCCAACACGCAAGGGATGGCCAGCGCTTTCCACCAGACTCGGGTGTGGTGAACGGCTAGAGCAGCAGCCTCTCAAACGTGTCACAATTGGTAGCTGCTTTTGAAGGTTTTCATTCTTACGTAAAAGCGGCGAGGAGTCCTGTGGCACCTAACAGTCTAAACGAAGTGTTGGAGCAAAGACCCACTTCATCAGATCACATGCATTTGACGAAGTGGGTCTTTGCCCACAAAAGCTTGTGCTCCAGCACTTCGGTTAGTCTATAAGGTGCCATAGGACTCCTCGCTGCTTTTGCAGATTCAGACTAACACGGCGACCCCTCTGATACTTAATTCTTATGTAGAACTCCTGGTAAAGTCTAGAGCAGTGTTTCACAACCACTGGCACAAGTACCCATAGGGGTACTCGAAATAAATCTGGGGGGTACGTCAACAACTGAAATTTGGAGAAAACCGAATTGAAGTTTTACAGCACTGTATTACTGGTGTACGTTTTACACCCAAAAATGTCACGGCCCGCCCGGCTACGATTAAGTTGGTTAAACAAATGTGTTGCAATGGCAGAAAAAAAAAAGTGTGTGTGTGTCTGAAAACTGTAGGTCCTGGGGGTACTTATTTTTATTTTTTTAAGGGGTACTTTTTTTGTAAATAAAGGTTGAGAAACACTGGTCTAGAGTGATGCAAAACCTGCCTCGTTCAGGGACAGAGCTGGAAGCATCAGCATCTCAAACTTAAGGTCTCTGATTTTCGCTATTACAGCGAGAGACTGTCCTTAATGCTGCTCCCTTCCATTGTGTTACCAGCAGGGGGTTGTACGCTCCTGCCAGGGCTTTTCATTAGTGGACTGGCTATGGAATCTCAATGTCCAAGAAATTCGGGAGCTCGTGGGTCTATTACGAAGCAATGACATGGACACGCCAATGGGCTTGAAAACAGTTTCTGTAAGCTGGGGAAAAGCTAGGTCCAGGATTGCTTGGATTAGTGCTCTTTACACCAAGAGAACGTTTCCAGTGCAGGGCAGCTCTCCAGGGGACTTATGGCTTAGCATGCTGTAGGGAACCATCTTTGTGAGCTTCCCGGACATGGAGCTAAGAACCCAACTGGGCTGGAATTATTGCCTGAATATTAAGGTCTGAGCTTTAGATAGTCAGGCAGCAACAAAGTAAGAACTGGGGACCAAGTTACGCCCTAGTGGTTAGCATCTACCCTAAGGAGTGAGCAGATCTTGCAGCACTGCAAATCCAATCACATTGTAAAGCGTCCCTGTTACCACCCCGGCTAGACTGCTGACGAGGAACACACGAGTGCCAGGGAGTGACACTTAAGCACTCTGTATCAGCCTGATGGGTCAATCTTCCCTTTGCTCTGCTCCAATTGGAAATCATGCTTACTAGTTAAACACAACAGCGAATAAGCAAACAAGTAACAGCTGGCAGCACCTGCTCTCATTATTCTTGTAACAAAAATAAGACTATTAATAAGTCGCTGCAGCAGACATGAATCATAGACGCCAATTTCTGCCCAGCCTCTCACCAACTCCGTTCCAAGGGAGAAAACGCTTGCAGAGTTCAGATGTAGTCATCCAGCACTCGATTGAAGGCAGTTTCCTGCACAGTTCCATTAGTGAATCTGCAAAGCTTGCGAGCCCCTGCTTTTTCCTACACACGTTCCATAGTTAGGTAGCTGAAAGAGCAGGCTAGGAAGTCTGGTTGCATGGACAACAGAGCTTTGGACGTGATCTCGGCACACACCCCATTCCTGGCACTATTAAGCAGCCTATGACAAAGACAGAGTCCTTACTTGTAATGAGCGAATTCATGATGATATGGGTGGCCTTGGCCTTCACCACTGGGACCTTGTTCACACTTTCAGTGGAAGATGAGGGGGTTATGACAGATGGATACACGCTAGCCTCCCCTTCCTCAACCTGTGCAGGGGAAGTGGGGTAGAGTTGAAGACAGAGGGGAGAAAGTTACCGTGTGAACATCACACACCTTCCCTGAAGTCTCATCACAAGAGACTTCACACACCCGGTGAAGCAAAAGTCAACTTGTGTCGCAGAGTCACAGCGGTATCGCCATGTCCCTAAGCAAATGGACGTTTGAGTCCTTCCAGGACAGGATGCTCCTGTTCTCCACTGACAGAACTCGTTCTCACATGGATTTGGAAAGCGCTGGGCTCAGCCAGCAGGGTGTTAGTCTGAGTGGCAAAGGTCACTAGGGAAGGAGATTAGAACCAGCCCCTTTCTCCTTCCACTCAGCCCAATCGGCCCAAAACACAGCAGGTCTTTCCCCACAAGAGAAGACGCTCTGGTAGCTGGCACTACAGTTGCTAGCCAGCATCCTGGTTAGAGAGAGTAGACCCACATATAAGCCAGGGCACTCCAAGCGTAACGGTGTTAGTCTAGGCCAGGGGTGGGCAAAATGTGGCCCAAATCCGGCCCACTGCCAACAGGAACCTCAGGCAAACTTCCTGCTTTCTACACCCACGCACACAGCTCGATGCAGCCAGCTGTTGGGGCCCTGTGCTCTGGGCACCTTGAGCCCCTGGGGTGGGCAGGCTTTGTGCACCCCAACCCCAGCAATTCTCGCACAACCACACGGACGTCAACCAATGGGAGCTGCCAGGGCTGTGTTTGCAGCACAGGTAGTGCATGATGCTCCCCTGCCCCTAGGCTCACAGTGCACAAAGCACATGGCCTCTGCAGCCAGCTACCTGGAGTAGTGGGCGGGGCATAGAAGGCAGGGAGTCGTCTCCCACCTGAACCTGGCACCCCACCCTCCCCTTTCTCCACCCCAGCCTTCTGCTTCCCCTCCTGCACCCTTACCCCATGTCACAACTCCAAGCCCCCTGCATCCCATCCCCGCCCCCATACTCCCTCCCAGACCCTGCACCCCCTTCTACATCCCTCCTCCAGATCAGAATCCTCTCCTGCGCCCATATCCACATCCCCTCCTGGCCTCTGCACCCCCGGTCACAACCCTCCGATCACCCATCCTCCCTCCCAGACCTTGTACCTCCTCTAGTAATATCGTGGAAGAGTGCGGCCCTCGAGCACTTACCAAATTCTTAGAGTGGCCATCAAAAGTTACTGCCCACCCCAGTACTTCATATTGGTGTAAAGCCATTCTAAGCTCAGTCAAGTAGCTCATACCCAAAGGTTTGCCACTCTTAACTAGACTCTGGGGATTGCCTGCTGGACTCGGAAGCGAGCGCCCCTTTCAAAGCGCTGCTCTAGTTGCAAGAGTTACTCCTCTTCTCACAGCTGGGCACTGGCTCTTTGACCATGCTCCAATCTAAGGCTCAGCGCCACAAGACGTTCTAGTGGTAGAATAAAAACCAGTTGGAGTGGACACAGTCCAAAAGACTGCATGGGCACATGGCTCAGTAGAGGGGGGACTTGCTTTAGTTGAACTAACCTGCCCTCGGAGCACTCTATGCTCACCAGACACTGCGTTTAAGTGACAAAATCACAAAGGACATACGCGTACTCTTCAAAGGTACCTTGAAAAATGTTTAACTGAACAATTAAACAACCGGAGTTATTCCTGTTTCTTTATGGTGAAAGAACCCCTGGAAAGTTCTTTCACTATGTCTGGCTTTGGTCTTAGAAGTTTAAGGGGTAGGCTTTTCACAATTGGTAGTTTGAGGGTGGAGGTCTGGGTTAGTCCTTAGTGCTAAGTCAGTGTTGGCCAAGATTCGGTGTAGCTCTCTCACTAAAAGCCTCAGTTGTTTGGCTTCCACTTGCTACTCCTCCAGGCAGACTCAGGAGATACATTCCTAACGTTTAAGTCAATCAGGAAATTGTCCTTGATGAGAACACTCTCCGTTTTCATCTGCCTCTGCAGGACACCTTAAAGTACTAGTCACTTGCTGAGTCCAGAAAAGTTGCTGGTTTTCATCCCATTAGAATCCATCAGACATCTCCTCCCCCATTCTAGAGTGCCTACCTTTGAAAGTTCCTGGTACTTGCGCTCTGGGATGACTGGCTGTTTCCACAGGACATTGGAGTGCATATCTGAAGGGGGAGGGGTCATCGGCGCTGTATCCTCCAGGGCATCATCATAGCTGAATGCCCGACGATGCATTCCAATTGGCAGGGACATCTTTCCTAGAAGCCCTCCAGAGCCATGCTCAATAGCTAAGAACAAAGATGGCAGCTTTCACAGTGGGACCCAAACTGGATTATCTCTGTACTAATTAAGAGCACCAATTCTTGTTCTAGTTGCTTCAGGGACATAGTACAGATCACGCCACTAAAGCCTACTTTCAAAATGAGACAGGTAATTCCATAAGGAAGCAAGTGCTATGAAGCTTATCTCAGGGCTTGTCTCCATTATGCCGGGGACTGATGCTACAGCAATCGATCCACCAGCCGTCGATTTAGCACATCCGCTTAGATGCGATAAATCAATCTCCATGTGCTCTCCTGTCGATGCTGGTACGCCACCAGGATGAGAAGTGTATCGGGCATCAACCTTGCCACATGCAAGATGCCACAGTAAGTACATTGACTTCAGCTTTGCTATTTGAGTAGCTGAAGCGACATAGATTAGGTTGACAGCAGAGGTTATTGGAGACAAGGCCTTAAGCAGCTTCCTAAAGGACCAGTAAAGTCTGGGCCTTTCTACAGGCAGTTACCGTGGGGATATTTTGATGTGGTTGCTAAAGAAGTTCACCCTTCGTACCAGTTTAACTGTTTTGAAAGAACAGGTTTCTACATGCAAAATTCTAGGAGCTTTTTTTTTTTTTTTTTTTTTTAATGTTTTGCTAGCCTCACTCCAAACTATCAGATTAGATGGGACAAGTGAATCACAAACAAGTTATCCTATAACTACTGCTTCAAATCTGTCACAGTTAAAAGCAGTACTTCACGAAACACACCCTGAGTAGCAATCTATTATGCAACTGCACATATTGTGGGCTAAAACACCAAGTTCACCAACAACTAAATAAAATCTACGTGGTAAGGCTGCACTGAACAGGAGCACTAAGCCTGCTTTGGGAGAAAAAGCAGTGCTATTAACCTTAACCTTATACAGTATATGGCTGCTTTAGCCATAGTTCTGACATGATTCCACAGTTGGGAGTTTATCTGTACAATGCAAAAGCACTACGGAAATATAGGTTCTGATTTCATTTACATATTTGGAAGCTTGTTCTACCAAAACATTGCCTGCTACTAGCATGCATTCTTACAAGATCTATTTATGAGATCAGGTATTCCTATAATTTAGTGCCTAACAATCAAGCAGCTATTTTCAGACCCTTGGGTGAAGAGAAACATGCAAAACTTTGTCAAGTCTCAACAAATCTAATCACAAGTTTTCCCTAGTTAAACAGTGATGGGGAGAGGGCAGAACACAAACTTCAGTCTCTGGACAGCTTTAAGGGATAGGGCTGCTAGCATGGTCTAGGGAAAGCACTAGATACAAGTCCAATCAGCTGTGGGGTGAGAAGGAGGCTGCCTCAGACCCAGGTGCCCCAGCTTGGAAAGCCCAAAAGACACATGCTGTGGAGAGCCACACTTCTGAACACCTCCCACTTCTGCTATTCTGAAGAAGGTATGAAAAATGGAGTCTGGCCAATTTTCTAGATTCTGCTAATTGCCTTGTCAAATTAACAGCAGCCTACTTGACAAAAGCAGTCATGTGACTATCAGTAGTGTAATGACTGAGGCAACCACTAACAAGAACATGTTCAATCGATGGTTCTGAACCCACAGCTGCGACCATGTGACAGTCTCAAGCGCCCACTGGGTTAGATTCTAAGGTCTTCAGGATACAGTCTTTGCGTTGCAATATATTTGTACTGCACTCAGCATAGCGGGAGCGTGATACAACAAATTATTCACTGACAGGTATGGATACAATAGCACTTTTAAAAGCTGCCACAGTAGCCTCAATTGCATACCAAAAGCCCTAACAAGGCTATAGCCCTGATCCAGACTAGGGATGTAATAGTGTAACCGATTAACTGATAAGCAAAATCTTATAGGTTAATGCTACAAGACTACACGCATTTCCCTCCCCTGCCCTCCCTTGAACAGGGGCTGCTGCCATCCTGTGCTGCTGCCTCTGTATCAGAGGCAGCAGCACCGGGCAACAGGCAGCAGAACCATGAAGGGAGCTGGTTTTAAAACTGGTTCTCCTCACAGACCAGCTCCTACCAGCCACCCTGCACAGAGTGGCAGGGGACTCCTTGGGGTATGGCCAGAGCACACTGGCTGCCAGCCCCGCACCCAGGAACTATAGAATAGTCGACTAACCGATAAGAATTCATGAGATTATTCAACTACTCAAATAACCCATATGTAACATCCCTAATCCAGACTTCAGGGCCCAAATAAAACCATGTCTTCCTACAATTTACAGTCACAGACGGGATTAGACTAATATTTACTGGAAAGAATTAGTTTTACCAGGAATATCTGGTTGCCTTGAAGCCATGATTGGAATCCAGATGTTTCGCTATCTGGAAATCCAGACCTGATTCCCGTTACCTGATAAAACAGAGAATGTGTTTTATCTGCAAGAGGCACTAAGGCTACAGTAAATAAAGACCTTGGGTCCATGCGCCGAGCCAGCCTTCGGGAGCAGGAGCTCCACGCGCCTGTGTAGCGGGCAGGGCGGCAAATGATCCGCCTAGA